AATAGCGTTGATTTTTGACAATTTTTGTTTGGAGGCTGCTTTTGCGGTGTTTTTTTTTTATATAACAAGTGCAATTTACAAAAGCTGGCGTTGATTTTTTGAAATTTTGTTGCTTACGGCCTCCCGCATTTTATTTCATAAGAAATTCATGCTTGTATGGAAAAATGCATAAAAATCCGTCACCAAAAAAAATAAAAAATTCAAAAATCAACGCGATTATTTAGGCGGTTGAAACTTGCACCTTATTAGACTAAAACTTTATGGGCTTTAAAAAATGTTCTAAAGATTCAGATTAGAAACTGAAATTTTGATGAAAATTTTTCGAATTTTCCTCCATTTTGTATAAAGTTTGAAACTGTTTATATGGTTTTCTTTAAAGCATGGACGGTTTTTTTATAGAAAAATATCAAAAAAAAAATTTTACGGAAAAAATTAGATACGAATATAAAAAAAAAATTAAGTGCGCCTGTTCCACACTGGAGAAGTGAAACTTACGTTACATATCTATATTGTCTCATAACCAATATACACCGAAAAACATATCGATAACAAAATCGATAACAAATTCGACAAAAATTTCGATAGCAAAATCGATAATAATATTGGTAGCAAAATCGATTAGAAAATCGATAAAAACATCGAAAAATATCGATTAAAATCGACAAAAATATCGGTAACGAAATCGACAAAAAATATCAAAAAAATATATAATCGACATCAAAATCGATAGTTAGTCGATAACAATATGGATAACAAAATCGATAACAAATCGATAAAAATATCGGTTAAAAAAATCAATAACAATATCGATAAAAAATATCGATCACAAAATCGTTTAAAATGTCGATTATTAAATCCATAACAAAATCGATAAAAATACCGGTAACGAAATCGATGAAAATATTGATTATTATATCGATAAGTACCAAAAAATATCGATAGCAAAATCGATAAAAATTTCGATAACAAAATCGATAAAAATATCGATAACAAAACCGATAAAAATATCGATTATTATATCGATAAGTCCCGATAATCCCGAAAATCTCTAAAATCCCAAAATAGTTCCCAGATTGAGTCTCTGTTTCTCTATCTATATCCTTTTCTCTATAATTACCTGTATTTTAATCTTTCTTCCTCTGTCTTCATTTTTACTTTTATCGGTATTCCAATCCCAATCTTTTTCTTTATATTTATCTCTGTTTTAACTTTCGTGATTATCATTTTCTTCATCTACATATTTTCCTTCACCTTTGCCCTTATATAAATGAAGTGTTTAAATTTACCTTGGTCTTCATTTTTGCCTTTATCTTTACGCATCTTTGTTTCTGTTTTTATTTTTACCTGCCTTTGCCTTTATCCTTTATCCTTTTCTTTATCTATTATCTTTTTCTAAGTGTTATTCTTTAACCTTTTATTAGCAAATTTTTGTTAAATTAATACCATGTGGATACACTCAAGAAGCACTTGTTTCAGCCCCAACCATTTCCGTTGAATTTGCTAATTTACTCCTAACCAACCAACCGCAGCTAAAGAAGTTTCACTTCAAAAAAATCAACACGTGGTCACTTGTTTGAGTAACTGTATATATTTTTATTGGACGGCAAAAAATTGTAAATTTTATTTTATTTTGGGCCTTTTTACTTGTATATTTTGGTACAAAAATGTTTGATGAACTGGCAACCGTGAGTACAAATGCAAGAATGTACAAAGATAGGAGCGCATGTCATAGCAGCCAAAGCAGCGGTATATGGAGTGACGGAAATAAATTGGAAAGTGGCTCAAAGTGCGTAAAATGCAGCACAACGGTATTGGCTAAAATTCATTGTTGACGAGACCATGTTGCGCTATTGCAGCAGCAACGGGGGCATCGTATGTGTACCAAGAGGAGTGCTCGATAGTGGCAGTTTTGAAACGTGATTGATTGGTTGGTTAAAATTTAATGATAACAGTGTTGTAGAAGGTTACAGCATAGAGCTCAATCGTTGAACTGGCAATTGACCAACAGACACGAAAATGGTTTACAGACAATATAGAACGATTAATGGTGTTGTGCGGTAAGTTAATCGGGTGAAAGGTGGGTTCTGGATGCAAGATTAAACGAATTTAGTAAAGAAACAAGAGGGAAATCGTTTTCTTAATTTTAAAAGAGGAGGGTTAAACTAGAGGGCTAAACGACTATTAAACAAATTCCAGTGCAAAAAATAAACAGTGAAGTAACATTAGAGCAAAGGGGGTGACAGAGATCAATAAAAAGACAACAAAAATACACTCTGCCAGGTACAACTAAAGACGGATTTGGGCGAAAACACATATTATCTAAGCATACGAAAACTCTTTACTCTCAGCTCGCGCTTATTAAACTCCCCAGAAATGTTATGAGTAGGTCTACAAAATTTTAGGAAAATATTAAGAATGGAACTAGAAAGTAATTCAAATGGTATGGAAATCTCGCCTTTGGAAACAAATTATGGCACGGGATTTAAATGGAATTACCGTGAGGCCATTTTTTTAGATTGTTTCGCAATCCAAGTCATGGTTTCAAAGGTCAACTGAGTCTTGATTAAGCACTTTTACATCTGTTCGACAGTGCCAGTCCGGACTCGCTTAGAGGGATTCTATTAATCTATGATGAGCCATGTAATAATTGTCTTGCTCTTACCAAAAAAAACTTAAGTATGTATGGGAAAACTTGCTATTATCAGCACAGGTGAACTGGTCTTAAAAATTAAAAGTTTTCTTTAGACTTGGAGTGCTTAGAGGTACTTAGGTTATAGTGGTTGCCCAGGCAAGGAACACACTCGGATAGTTAAGAGAATGTACTTTGTGATACCTACAAAATTTTTAATGCGGCTGATTTCGATGCCTGAGAACTCAGGATTAGTTAAGAAGTGCGAGCCAACATTTTTCCACCCTAGCCTCGTGAACATTCTAATAGAAAGTTTTAAGATGATTCCACCTTACGGATCTATTGAGATTCCTAGTCTTACCGCATGAATACCAATCGCACAAACGCCTGTCAGAAGCCCCACCACATTTGGTAATAACATTTCAATGATGAGTTTCCTTGCCAGGTCATCAGCCACGCAGTTTACCGCGATTTCACTCTGACCCGGCAACCAAAGTACGCTTATTGAGAAGTACTCCGACGCGGTTGGTAGAGAGATCCCTTACCGATTTGTCTACCTATGATCTAGCTCAGCCGGTATATCGTCGGTCCCGCGAACCTTGTTGTTCTTAAACCACTTTATTAGGATATGGAATTCCACTGCTCAATTATGCCCAGGCGATGAGGCGGCGCTTGATTAAGCAGGAAGGTCGTTTACCTTTTTTTTTTCAAACTGCCAAAAGCTTGGCCAAACGTCTTGCATGGGATGAACGCACTATTAATTTTAGTTTTTAAAAATTTCAGATATACATATGAGACGATGAGGGCCAGAGGAGCCTATCTACAAAAAAAATTTGAGTAATATGAGAAGTAAGGATCTATAAAAAATAAATGCGGTCTTTTTCTAAAAATTTCATTGCACATATGTATGTGATGCTACATATTATGCGTAAAGAAAACTAAAAGGACGTGCCTCGGGCTATTACCGTTTCGATTCTAGTAATGCATTTTAGGCTGTACCCTAACTTTTTTTGAAATGGCAGTTAGGCTACTATGGCGCTTAAGGCCACATATACACAATTGGGCATTATTATAGGTAGTCTCCTGACTAGAACCAGAGATTTCTGATCGAAAAATATTGATTTCCAAGAATTTCATATCATTTCTACGAAAAGTGTTTTTTATTTTGTCCATATAAAATAAATAGAAAACTTTAAGCGCTTTGAGCGACCTCTAAATATTTTTTGACTTCAAAATAAATAAATCGGAGTTTATTTTGTTCCGACGTAGAACAATCCTAGGGCGTGAGAGCATTAAAATCCCGACTTTATCCCTTTGGACCACCCTAATGTACATACATACATAGATATGTGAAAATTACGTGATTGACTGAAAATCGAACTCACGCACGCTCACGCCAGCGCAAATTTCAGTCACTCACGATCGCGGAAGTTAAGTGAATTTTTTCGCAAAACCGCTCTCACGCTCGCGTGTCACGTAGAAAATCACGTGTTTTGCCCATCTCTAGTTTCGACCCACCGTGTTCGAGTACCCTCATTCGAGCGGAGTGACAATTATATCCGTTGCAATAGAGAAGCGATACCCACACAGCTGACTGCGGCATAGCAACACAGACGAATATTCAGAACTTAACATTCTCTTACCATTTAATTTTAATGATCTACATACCAAGAAAGGGAATGCGAATTTTCTTCCTTATAAAATCAGCGGTATTTTGTAGCCAAAATAATCTTGATATGCTAAATTTAAAAAAAAAAAATATTATGAATATTAAACAAACAAAAAGAAAACTGTGCATACTGAGGATCAAACGAGTGTGCTCTTTAAATGACTGGGAGTGTATTTAGTTTATTTCGAACTTTCATAAATTCTGTAATACTAGTGACAAATATTTAGTATATTTTATATGCAACGTTTTGCTCAATAAACCCATTGACTACTTCGCTCATTGAACTGTTTAATACATATTCCCACACGGAGCTACTCACTTATGCCCAGCACACACAACGCCGCTCAACTGGCATACAAAAGGTCATTATACGAAAATTTGTTCTTTGAAAACATCTAAACGCCAAGCACGAGCTCCACGAGCCTTTGAATGTCAATCACAGCTGGCGCCAAAATCATTAACTATTATAAACTTATTTGCTACATAGTCACACAAAAATACACAATCGACACTTTTGTGTTACATTCTCTATGCGCCTTTACCGCTACTCACTGCTTCACTTTAGTACAAACTAGTTCTCACAATACACTTCAATGCATACGAATTAGTTTTACCTTTGTTTAGATTAAACTAATATCAACAAAATGTCTATGTTTTCTTTTTTGACTTTTCACTCACTCTCTCACCCTTCCCCACGCATAGAAGGATGGCAGCCTACTACCCGTCGAACGCCACACCGTCAATGCTGGCAATTTAGTCATAACGAATTTGGTCGAAACAGATCGGGGTATGTACGAATGTTCGGCCACTAATGAAGCAGCGACCATAACGGCCGAAACGGAATTGATGATCGAGAATATTGCACCGCGCCCACCCTACAATTTAACGGCGAATAGCACGGAAACCGCTATAACGGTACGCTGGCAACCTGGTGAGTACAAACGCAAGCACACTGTTGTTGTTCACTTCATCTAAATCGGTGCATTCACCTTGTTTAGTGAACTCTGTGGATTAGTGAGTACATTGCTCAATGCTGTAATAGGTAACTTTATGTGGTGTTGATGCTGCTTCTGCTACTGGTGTCGGTTGAATGAATTTCCAGTCAACGGAATTTTTCTGGTTGATTGCCCTAAGAGTTTTGTTGTTGATGACTTATGTATGTAGACGGTTTTGTGATGTTCTATTGAGATTTAGTGAAACGCATATTTATTTTCGTTTTGCTGATTTAGTTGATCTTTAGAGTGTTGATGTCTACTAGCATTTAAACAATTGTTTATCAAAGCTCCGGGGGATTATTTAAAAGTTATTTGGTAGTTCAATACTATTATTAAACGACTAGTGCTGAAGTAACAAAACAAAAATTTTTAAAGCCAAATGCATTGCATAGAGTTTTTATTAGATCTGAGAATCGCTTTACGGGATAGCGACTCAGTTGTCTACAAAAAAAAAGCAGACGCCGACTGGACTATGGAGCCATAATTTGCACACCTTGCTTCTCTCAGTGAGTTAGGTTCATCGAAAAAAAATGGAGAAGCTATTAGTCGCAGTACTACTGCCTGTAATGCAGTATTATTCATCTTCTGCCAACATGTGTATACTCCCCGAAGGAAAAATTTAACCACACTTTTGAACGAATTAAATTGCCTCCTTTTGGAAGGAAAGCAGTAAGCCTACAGGGAAACCTTTAAAATGTGAAAGATGCCACCATGAACGCCCATAGGGACTTCTGAAATATTTTTTCCATATCATGAAGGAACAGTCAGAGGGCCATTGCCTGAGAAAAGTGCTGGCGAAGAATTTGTCGTCGCGGATATTAATTTAGAAGCCGAATAGTATCTAGACTTTATCTCGCGAGTGAATGCAGTAGTACTACCAGGATGAACTTCTAAACTTTACACGCCATACGACCATTCTAACAACAATGAAGTATCTGATCACGCGAGGGAGCTCTTCAAGTTTTCGAAATAAAGATCTACGAACCTTTGAGCGTTGGCGATGGCAAGTACCGCAGATGATGGAACGATGAGCTGTATGAGCTTTACAAACTTTTTTCGTTTCCAAATTTGTATGTACTTTTAAAAACGTTTTGACCTAGGTTTTGCACCTACAATATTTATTTAAATTTTGAGAAAAATTTCAATTCAATTTCTAAAATCATGCATTTGTTTTTGATACGCATATTTTCAAATCGTTTTTAAAACTGATCGTTTGGTAATTGAATATGCGCACACTGAAATTAAATCCTTAAGTGTTTTTTCTTCATTTTAAAAATATGCGATTTTCAAATATGATATTCAAATTTTATTTTTATTAAATCACAAGTCATTTCATACATACATTGTCAAAAATATATTGATTTATACTTATAAATAAGTTGCAAAATTAAATAAATAAAATACAGATGTTTTACATATACTATATACATACATACACATGTTCCTGCCTTACTTCCAAGCTGGGCCTGCTCATTTTTCTTGACGCTGGTCAAATCCTGTAATTTTAAATAAGAAAGTTTCAAATTATTATTTAATAACCCATAAGAATTGGTTTTTGTAAGTTATTCTTACCAAAGCTTTTTTCGGTCAAAGGAGACCACCGTATCACCAGTGTCCCGTCCATGTAGTTAGGTGGTTAGAATTGCAGTATTGTTTGTATACATATACTTCAATGCCTTTTCTGAAGATTGAAGTAACTTATTTATCTGAACACAATTTTTTCGACAAATGATGCAAACATATGAAATTTTTTTCATTATAGCTAGGTAGCTTAGTAAATTCTAATGCAAAACATTTTAGTTTTAAATATTTTTCATAATTAATGGACTGGAAACAAATTAACGTTTTTATTTTGAAATTGCCTAGTTCTATTTTATTTATAATTAATGTGCTATTCCCGCTTCTACAGTTCTTACTGAGCTCGGGTTCTTCAATATTCCTACCATGTTCAGGTTGTTTACCTCTTCTTCTTTCGGCAGAGGGCTCGGGTGCTTCTCATTGCCTGCTGGGAATTGCATATAGTCTGTTGCCATACTAGGGGCATTGTTATAAGCAAGTTCGTCGGTTAAGCTTGTCACTCTCCGGCCTCGTGCGAGTTTGGTACTACCATGCTTGAATGTACCTATTGCGCTAACTACTTTTCTGCTCGGAGATGAGCGAGGATTCATTGCTCCACTTGCTGGGTTTTCCAATGTTTTCAGCATATCCGCTTTCTAGTCATTTTATTTATTTCCTTTTATTCAGGTTTACATTAAGTCCGATTAGGGTAGTCAGAATGGAGATATCTTCATAGTTATCTTCACATCCTCTTTCTCTATTATTTGCTTTTGTTGTTATTTTCTTGTTCGTCTAATTTGGCTGACAATATCATCGACAAGAAGAGAGGATCTAATAAATTTTAGGCGTCATTTTCCACGGCAAAGCAACCACTTCTTCTTAGAAGGAAAGACAGAAGACTTCTCGTAAATGAATTTTAAATTATTTTTTACTAATAGATATGTATTAATATTTTTTCCAATATTAACCAGGATACCTGCGTCCCAATCTAGAATACACCGTGTGGTACCGTTTCACCGAATCGCCCGAATGGCGTACATTACGTATTCTTCAGAAGAACGTTATGGAAGCAACAATACAAAATTTGCAGCCAGGGCATGAATATGAATTAATGGTGCTCAGTCAGGACAAATACGGTGATGGCATGTTCAGCAAAACTCTACGATTTTCAACGCAACGTAAGTTTTCGAAAATCTATTCAGCAAAGATGTTAGTAAAACAATTTAACTCTCTTTTTCATATTCAATCACCTCAGATTCGAGCGTAGAATCGAACGAAGCTAACATCCTGCATCAGTCCAATCCATTGGCAAGCAGCATTAGCCCGCCATGGAATTTGTCTGCCACCAATAATGTACAAGGCTGGCTTCTACATTGGCAGCATCCAAAACGCGGCTCCGAATCTGTACGTCTATACACCGTACGCTGGTGGAAGGAACCGGAACATTTTCTCATCGGCACCATCGAAACATTCGACAATTTCTATCAGCTACGTCATCTCAAAGAGGATGCCATTTTCAAAATACAAGTGATAGCTACATCAATCAATGGCGAGCAAGTGGCCAGCGATGTGCTGACCATCGAAGTGCCATCGCATCGCAAGACGCGCGCTTTGCTCATTGGCAGCACGGTTGGTATTGCCTTCCTGCTGTGCGCGCTGGTCGCTTTCTTGTATGTGAAGCGTAGCTGCTTGCGGCATCTGTTAGTCAGTGGCGGTAACGGCGACGATACCAAGGATAACGAGAAAATGAATAATACCTGAGTATATGAGATTACTTGGCAATTCCATAAGCAGACAGAGAGCGAAAGCCATTAAAGAAGAAGAAGAAGCAGAAGCCAAAGCCACAGCCACCGGACGCATTTCCCCCCCCCCCCCCCGTCATAAACAAAGGCATTCCATTGAGATGAATCGAGCCGAAATTGAGTTTCAAATATGTTTTTATTTGATTAAAAACGGATATGTATTAATTAAGTTATATCGGAATATCTAACTGAAATGAAAATTTATATTAATGTAAGTGCGAGATTAGAGAATAACATCTAATTATGAGCTTGTTTGTAAGTTATTAATACTAAAATTAAAACAATCGTATATTCTAACTGTAAATTTAAATGTTAAACTAATGGTGGTAAAATTTCGTTTAAATAAAATATGCGTTCCAAAAGAATTTTCAGAGTGGTCAATAAAACTAGGTTTTTTTGAAGTGAAACTTCTTTGGCGGCGGTTGTTCGGTTGGAAGTAAATTGGCGAATTCAACGGCAACTGCACACGGACATGATGCAACGGAAACTACACACGGAAATGGTTGGGAAGGAAACAAGTGCTTCTGAAATGTATGCAAATGGTATTAATTTAACAAAAACGTGCTACTGAAATGTTTAATACAAAAATTAAAGTAAAGGTGAGTACGTACATAGATGAAGAAAAGGATAAAGGCATAGGTAAAAATAAAAATAAAAGCAAAAATAAAGATGCGTATTTAAAGATAAAGACATAAATGAAGATCAAGGTTAATTTAAGCGATTTTGACGCGCTATTGGGCTAAGAATATGTTTTCGGGGTCGCTGAACACGATGGGACAATTCTTTTTCTCTACTACCAAAGATTCTTGAGAAATTCAAGAAAATCTGAGAAAAAAGGAGAAAAAATATAAAATTCTCCCTTTTAATGCTTAAATTTAGATTTTGTTTTTATAAACCTAAGATACTCAAGATCATAAGCTGTTCAACGACCTTTAAAATGAAAAAAAAATCGGTATAATTTGGTTGAATCGGTGTTAAGATGCGAGTGAGTTTCTAAAACGGTGTTATCTTTTCAACATGTTTTATTTCGGTCAAATAAGTCTTCGGCGTGAACAGGCTTTTAATTTTTCGTGATTTTAGGTTTTAAAATAGTCTTTTAGTCATATCGACGGATCCCGTATATACCCTGCAGAAAAAAATTATCAATTGATTAAAATAACCAACTTCTAGTTAGCTTTTTTGCGGGAGTTCGATAAATAACTAACTTTTAATTAGATATGACAAAACTAACTTTAAGTTAGTTGTAAAGACGTGCAAGAGTCGTGCAGACGTTGTCGGGAGTTTGTTTTCTTTACAAGTTTCTATTTAAATATCCTCACAAAAATTACTTGCAGATTCTTTTTCGTATTCAGAACAAATAAAAGGAAGATCGAATTTCATATTATCATTTTGAAGTTATGTCTGACGGTGTTCGAATATGGGACCACCGACAGCAGAATATGTAAACAAATATGAAATGTAATAAAATAAAGTAAATAAATAAATAAAAGAAGTAAAAAAACCGAAAAAAAATATTTTTTTTTATTATTGATATTTTATGTCCAAAAGTAGTTAGCTACAAGTTCGTTGAGATCTAATGCAGAGGAAACCAGTTCTCACTATTTTGCGGCCATCGCCCTTCAAATGTAGTTAGTTACGGCCAAAGGAAATAGTTAATATGTAAATAGTTACCACTAGTTCAATGCTAGTTAGTTAGTAGTTAGCTACAAACTAGTCCCATTTCCTGCAGGGCACCATTGTGAGAAACTGAAGACAGCTCAATTTTCTACTTCGACCCTGTCCGACGTCTCCAATTTATATTCAATTTGGCTTTGGGTGATATATGTAATTAAAAATGATCTCAAAAAACCGATCCCACAACAGCAATGGAAAATCGTGCACTCTTAAAATAAATTCAAATTACGGATTATTAAAACCAATTCATTTTTAATCAGCAGCAAAGGAAGTGGTTTTTATTTTGAATTAAATTGTGATAACGGATGTGACATATCGGACGTGAAAGATTTTAGTTATTTGCCGGTCGTTTTTGTGGTAGGGGGCGGAGGGAGAGGGGGCGTGGCACTCCCCCCATTCGAAAGGGAACAGCCACACTTTACGAAAAGTCGCACCCCCCCCCCCCCCCCCCCCCCCCCCCCCCCCCCCCCCCCCCC